GAAATGGAATATTTACCAAATATAGACCCTAAGCGCCATCTTTTAATGATGTTTACACTAATCAGAAATGTTTAACATGCCATAGGGTTTTCCAATATAAAATTTAACAGCTATATTTCCTACTTATTTCACACTATCTTAAGATTTGAACTCATAGGGATAGTACATAAGGGAATGAAAAGGTCACACTTTTTTTTAATTTAAATTTTTTTAAAGATTTATTTATTTATTTATTTATACAAGCACTGGGTACAGTCAGAAGTGCGGGAGGGTGAGAGAATTCACCAGAGCCAGAGCGGGGTACAGAACAGGCAGGCCGACGAAGTACACTACTGAGGGGAGCAGGGGGCAGCAGGAGAGGTCTGCGTGCCATGTGGGACCCTCCTCCGGTGGCCGGGGAGTAGCCAGGGATTGAACCTGCGCTGCAGAGAGTGCACACAGCTTCGCAACCCGCGCTCAACCGCTGCGCCACTGGGGAGGCCCATGGTCACACTTTTCTAAAAATCTATAAAACAATCACATGATATTTCTATTTTTAAGTTATATAGCTTCAAAATTGCTCTACCAGGCTATAAAAATAATTTTAAAAATTTAAGTAGCTGCCAGTTTCATTGAGGTGACTGCCCATCAATATCTGTTCTATTTTTCCTTAATGATACTGACTCTATTCCTTAAATTTCGTTGAGGTTAATTGGGTCATGTGATGAATTTTTACCAATGGAATGTGACTAGAGGGATTAAACTCATTTTTAGATCTGACCAGGCCTCTTCCAGGTTATTTCCCTTCCCATATTATGAAACTTGGATCTGCAAATAACCTATTTCTACCATGCAGATGGAACAATAACCTAGGGCAAGGAAGAGAAACATTACATAAAGATGACCTGAATGAGCTTGTAGAGCAAAGCTTCTTGACATCATGAAGCTCTTGAATCAGAAATATTATGTGACAGTGAAAAAATGTTCATTGTTTTTAGTGTTCACTGAATGTTTGGGTTTGGATTTCTTGGTTAATAACAATAGAGCTTTCACTCTAACCACAGGCAGATCCATTAACTTTAAAATACAACAAAGGTTTGGGGCCTCCCTGTTGGCACAGCGGGTTGAGTGCAGCACTGTGAAGCTGTTCTCAGACTGGTTCGATTCCCAGCCAGTCAGGGAGATTCCCACATGGCAAGGCAGAACTTTCCTGTCTTGCCTGCTGCTCCCCTCAGCAGTGTACTATGGTCCTTCTGCCTGTTCTGCACCCTGCTCTGTTTCTGGTGAATTCTCTCACCCTCCCACACCGCTGGCCTGTATCCCAGTGCTTGTATAAATAAATAAATCTTAAAAAAAAAAAATACAACAGAGGTTTTATGTATAAAATGATGAGATTAAAGATAAAATGATGAGGCAAGAAAAAAATAAAAGCCAAGGAAAAATGTTTAAGTCCCAAGTATTAGATATGAGATAGACTATTGCTCAAATTTCTCCCTCAAAGGAACCTAGATTTTAAAATAAAATGTTCTTTATTCAGATAAGGATTCAGCACCAACAAACCATTCTGTTTTCTCAAACTTACTCTTAGCATGGTAAACATCTGAGAATTTGTGTTTAACAAAATATTTCCTTACTAATAAATTATCAGGAAATATGCAAAGATTGGGGCCTTCCTGGTGCCACAAGAGGTTAAGCATCAGCATGATAAAGCTATCCACAGCTACTGCAGCACAAGTTCTGTCCCTGGCCAGGGAGGTGACTCACATGGTGCAGCAGACCTCGCTGCCTTGCCCGCTGCTCCCCTCAGCATTGTATTTCAGTCAGTTTACCTGTTCTGCTCCCCACTCTGGTGAATCCTCTCCCTGCCCCCACCCGCATCTCAGCTCTTGTATGCAATAAATAAATAAATCTTAAAAAAAAAAAAAACAGAAATATGCAAAGATTATAGAGACATGTAGGTTCTGAATATGTGTTTTATAATAAGCAAAAATCTGCTATGGAGTAAACACAATGAAGTTGTGAATCTTAAATTTAAGCACTACAATTTTAAATTTGAGATTGATTAATCCTTATTAAGACAAATGCAATTAATTTAAGTGTCTTGTATGGTCTTTAATGAATACTTACATACTGTCCATATCAGGTAAGATATATATACATATATATATATATATATATATATATATAAAAAATAAATTTGTAGGAAAATTATAATTTCTAACTTATAGGTTAATTATGAAACAAATATTAATAAATGTCATTTATTCATGAAGATTTTGTAACAAATTCTCAGTGAAAATCTGGTTCGTTTAGCCAAACAGAAAATGGTCTTTTACACTGAAATCAAAATTATGCTTCTAATAAATATTTAGCATATGTTGATAATTCATTATCATTTTCATCATGGCAGTACTAATGAACTGCCAATTCTGTATCTAAGACAAAACAAATGTTTTCCAGTATTCTTCAAATATTTATAATGTTCAAGAAATTTAGCAAGGGAAGCTTATTCTATGATTTAGTACTTATTTTATATTGCCTAGCCTTTATAGTTTCATTTATATATGGGGAAAACATAGAGTATATTTTTTGAATAGCAGCCACAAAAATAAAAAATTGCTGGTTTAAAAATATCATACGCCTCACTGCATTTGTTTGCTAAAAACACACATTTTGTTGCTCACTTCTAAAAGTTATAAGCCCTTTTTTCACTGTACAACAAATGTGAAATTATGACCACAAAATGTCATTATAACAATGTATCAAGGTATGATAATTTGGAGTCTTAGTTTTCTTTAGCTCAAACTAGATCCTGGATCAAACTTCTAAAATTAACTTTACCCACTTATTAATCAGGTACATATTTAATATAACAAGTTTCATATTATTACCTCATCACACTTTTTTACTGTCAATTTTATTAGACCTTTTTCATTTATCAGCAGGGAACTTTAGTAAATTTGAAATATATATTAGCTTTAATCCAATTTATGAAATATTCTGGTTTCTGAATTTTTGACACTTTTCAGGAATTATACATAAAGTTAGTCCTCATTTTTGATGGGCATGTGCCTCATTAGAGACCAAAATTTTGTATCACCATACTTAAAAACTGAGATGGATATTGATCATTTTGATGAGAAAACTAAGGCTTAGAAATATTAAATAAAGTGACAGCAATAGGGCTGTTGTGCTTCATTATTATTTTTTACTAATTTCCACTACCTCCTAAAAATGTCTTATTTCTCTCACTTTCAGAAAATAAAAGGGGAGGGGCCTCCCTGGTGGCACAAGGGGTTAAGCACTACACTATGGAGCAACCCGCAGCCTCTGCAGCCTGAGTTGGATCCCTGGCCTGCCAAGGAGCAACCTATATGGCGCAGCAGACCTCTCCTGTTTCCCCGCTGCTCCCCTCAGCAGTGTATTTCAGTCAGTCTGACTGTTCTGTTTCCTACTGTACCCCAGCTCTTGTATGCAGAAATAAATATTTAAACAAAAAAAAGAAAAGAAAAGGGGATAACAATACTTGTACCTACCTAATCTCACCATGTGTCTTCTGTTCTTGGTACTGGGTGGGGAAAATTTTAATAAGATTTTAACAACTAAATACAAACTACCTTTAAGCAAAATGCACAGTAGCTGCAAGACCCAGGACTAGAAAAATCAAAATAATATTTTTCTTGGCCCCTTGTTTTGCAATATATGCTATATACTAGAAACTTCTGGAATATGCCACAAATTTAACCAAAACTTTTTTTTTTTTTTGGGGGGGGGGGCAGGTCTAAGGAAACTTCTCATGACTTTTCTTGAATGGAAATGTTTCATATCCCTTGAACACTCTTGCAGCCATGATTATATAAGGTACGATGGTATTGTCTCTACGTCTTAATTGGTAAAGTGTTATTTATTAACAAAATGTAAAATGATTTCAGAAACACTTGCTTTTGAAATTAATCACATTTGTTTGCCATTGAAATCACAATTGAGACAAATCACTTTGGGGCTAAAGATGTACAAACAATTCACAATTTTCTTAAAAATCCTTATGCAGTCAAAATTAGGGAAAGTAGCTGTGCATTGTCAATTCTACAATAAAAACAATGTTTAGACTATCTAATCTTTAGGATTTATAACGATCAGTTAGATAAAGGGAGAAAATGGTAATATACAAAGGACCACCCAAAAGCAGAGAGTAAAACACGTAAAATACATACATACATGTGCACTTCTTAAAGCAACATTTGTAAAAAATTAACACACTTCAATACTAGTCATGGCATGTTTTTAGATTATTTCATATGCTAGATTTATTTACCAAATCACAGGATCATGTATAGCTAGATAACTCGTAAAAATTCCCTGGGGTAAACAAATCAGCATATATTAGCTGTACCAGAACCAGAACAAGGGGCAGACACGAGTCCCTACATTATAAATATTACCTTTTTCATAAAAGGTGGTACTTTATAGAATATTCAAATACCGATTTATAAAAAAAAAAAAACAATTATCAACACTTTAAAATATTGGCGACTCAAGAGGTAACGGCTGGAGGTTTTGGAGAATAGAAGAATGAACAACAAATTCAACCAGCTCAAAATACACTATGCATCCCTCCAAGAACCAAAATAGGAAAAGAAAAAAAAAAAAAAAGGTCACAGGTTCTCACTACACCAAGGAAAGTTCAGGTATTCGGAGGTGTTGGCTGACACCCAGTTCTTGCATTTTAAAATCCCCTCTCCCCGCCAGAGAGGGCCTCCCTCCTTGCACACCAGAGTCAGAGGCAGGTGCAGGGCGCACACGAGGATCATCCACACGGCCCCTCATGACGCGTCCCGGGCGCGACGCCCAGGGCCTCCCGGAAGTGCCCAGCGGCCAGGGCGCATGGCGGGTCCAGCTGTCCAGAGTCTGCGCAGCGGAGCGCGGCCTGAGCATGCGCCGTGGTGGGGGTGGAGGGAGCCGAGACGCGGAAGGAGGCGGGGCCACGCGAGGCTCCGCCCCTCCCGGGCTGAGGCCCCGGGCTACGGCCCCGGCTCGGGGGGCTCCGGGGCCCGGGCGGGGAGGCCCGGATGAGGCTCGCCCGGAGGCGCTTCCGCCTTGTCCGCGCGCGCGTGCGGCCCGCGCTGCTCGAGGTGCAGCTGCAGCAGGGCCCTGCGGTACATGACCTCCAGCTTCTCCAGCCGGGCCCGCAAGGCCCGGGGGCTGCCCGGCTCGTCCTCGGGGTCGCCGCCTCTCACCCTCCGGTTCGTGCCGGCCTCCTCGGGGCCCGGGGCCGCCCTCGGCGCGTCCGCGGGCCGCCCGTCGCCGCCCTCGCCGGGGAGCCGCAGGGCCTGCCGGAAGAGGCTGCGGTTCTCGCGCTTCAGCCGCCGGTTCTCCAGGCGCAGCCGGGCGTTCTCCTCGCGCAGCCGCGCGTTCTGCCGGTCGCGCTCGTCCCGCGCGCGCAGGGCCTCCAGGTGGCTCGCGGCCAGGTCGGCGAACCGCTCCTCCAGCTGCTGCCGGGCGCCGCCCGCGCGGCCTCGCCAGCCCACGCCGCCGCCGCCGCCCCCGCGAACCCCGCCTCGGCGGCCCTGCCCGCGGCCGGCCCCGCCGCCGGCCCCGCCGCCGCCGCAGCAGCTCCCGCGCCGGCCGGCGCCACCACGCATGCGCCACATCGGTCCCGTCGCGTCGCCGGCGCCGTGGGCCGAGGCGCGGGCGAGTTCGCGGCCCGGCGGGCGGCCCGGGCGGCGGCGGAGGAGGAAAGGAGGTGGCGGACGGCGGCTGCTGGCTCGGGGCCAGAGGAGGCCGGGAATTTGCCCGGTTGAGGCGTGTCTTGTCTCCTGTGGCGGAGCTGCCCCCTGGGCCTGCGAGCGCGGGGCCCGCGCGCACACAATACCCCGGGGAGGTGCGGCCGCTCGGCTCTCTGGCTGCGCGGGCTGCGCTCCCGGGCCGGGCCGCGGCCCCCTGTGGAGCAGCCGCCAGGGTTACCTTGCGCTTTATTTACATGGCACAGAGGACACGGTAAAACGCTGCCCCTGCTTCATTTAGAGCACAGTGGTTTGGGGGCTCCCTGGTGGCGCGAGGGGTTAAGCATCGCATGATGAAGCAATTTGCAGACTTTGCAGTACGGGTTCGATCCCCGGCTTTGCCAGAGGGATACCCATATGGCACGGCAGACCTACCTGTCCTGTCTCACCCGCTGCTACCCTCAGCAGTGTGTTTTAGTCACTCTGCCTTTTATGCTTCCCCACTCTGTCTCTGGTACCCCAGCTCTTGTATGCATAAGTAAACCTTAAAAAGAAGGGAAAAAAAATAAAAGGAAAGAGACCTGGAGTGGAAGCTACCCACATGGCGTGGGAGACCTTTCATGAATCACCTGCTGATCCCCTCAGCAGTGTATTTCAGTCAGTCTGCCTGTTCTGCTCCCCACTCTGGTGAATCCTTTCACCAGCCCCCACATCTATGGGCTGTACCCCAGCTCTTGTATGCATAAGTAAACCTTAAAAAGAAGGAAAAAAAAAAAAAAAGGAAAGAGACCTAGACTGGGAGCTACCCACATGGTGTGGCAGACTTTTCCTGCCTCACCTGCTGAGCCCCTCAGCAGTGTATTCAGTCAGTCTGTTATGCTCCCCACTTTGTCTCTGGTGAATTCTCTCACCACCCCTTCCCCCCATCTCTTGCCAGTACCCCAGCTCTTGTATGCACAAATAAATCTTTAATAAATAAATAGAGCACAGTGGTTTAGACCACTTTTAAGCTTAGGAAAACATTCCACAGAATTGAGCTGAACACTGTCATGAGACCCTCAGGTGGGAACAGGTAGTTCTCAAGTGAATTTAGGTAATTACCAATTTGTGAACAGCCGCGGCTCCATTTTGCAAAGTGTTTGCAACTCTCTAGAAACCAGGTTATAATTAGTTGATTTGTTCAGGCCTGTCCACAAAACATGAAACTCAAAATGTGATCCACTCATTCAAGAAACTGAATACTCAGTTAAGAAATTTCTGGGTACAGGTGGATACAATGTATTAAATGAATCACATTCCTTGCTTTTAAGAGACTCAATTTTACAAAATGACTGTTATTTGCAAAGTAAATTAAGGGTAAGATATTGATGCCAGAATTTCATGGGGTCTCCAAAGAGGTGGAAGCAAGAATCCATAATGTAACAAGACTCCAGCAAATTTGTAGATCCACTGAAGTCTCCAAACCAGTGTAACAAGTTAACGAACAAAAATTTACGAGAACCCTAGTTCACATAACCCGGGTTTTCACTGCTCAGTGCAAAGAAAAATAACTAAGGGAAAGAAAATTAGCCATTTTTCGCAATTCATTTTTGCCAAATAAGAACCTAAAACGTAAATACAAGCAAACCATTAGTTTATTTCACTTCATGAAGTTCCTAAAATAAAAAGCAGGAATAATTACACTGTTTCAAAAATAAGAGTTTAGTTTTTGAAAAGGCCGAATCATTCTTAACTTACATTAAAAAGAGACGGTCAATTGGGCTTCCCTGGCGGTGCAGGCGGTTGAGCGCCGCGCTGTGAAGCTGTCCGCAGCCTCTGCAGCCCGGTTCGATGATCCTGACCCAGAGGGAATGCCACATGGCGCAGCAGACCTCTCCTGTCTCACCTGCTGCTCCCCTCAGCAGTGTGTTTCGTCAGTCTGCCTCTTCTGTTCCCTGCTCTGTCTCTGGGGAATCCTCTCACTCTCCCACTCATCTGGCCTGTACCCCAGCTCGTGTATACATAATACCTTAAAAAAAAAACAGATGGTCAAAACTTTGAAACAGACAGACATGAACAACTCTATGGATTATTGAACAAAATGTATGTTTTTCCCCCAAAATGTAGATAGAGATGCAGGAGAAATTGCTGGTATGTAAAGAAAAATGAAAAGTTATCAATTTTAGACATGTTGAATTTTAGGAACTAGTGAGATCAGAGGATAGATGTGTGCATAGATGCCATGCAGGCTAGAGGAAAAGTCTGCGTAAGATTCACTTACCCCCTGCATATTATGAATGAGTTCTGGTGTGTTTTATTTTCTGTATGTTCCACTTTCATCACCCCCATGTTTGGAAATCTACTAGGTCAGTTGTCCACCAACTTTCAAAAATTTGAGTTACACCACTTCACTTTCACAACAGTGAAGACCTGTCAGTACCATTTTTCGCTAACTGAAAGAAATCTGGAAAGGATTTCTGCTTTTATGACAAAAAAGCATAGAGTGCTTTCAGCACTTTGCAGCAGTCTTGTAGAGCCAATGTGGTCCCCCAGCAGTAAGAGTAGCACCACCGAATTCCTTCCCTAAAACTACTGTATACAGGGTACGTTTTTATGTTATTCTGGCTTTTCGTATATGTTAGTGTTGATTTAGGTTTTATCTGTTATTTGGTATGATTTGGTAGTTTACTTGTGCCTAGGAAAGCTCAAAATTTTTTTCATATAAACTAATGGTAGTTACTTCTTTGCTTTACTCCACATTTTTGGTTTAGAAGTTTTTCATAGAAGCACCCTAAATTTTTTGGGGGGATCTTTTCTTATTTTACTACTTCCAAGATTAAGTCTGCTCTTTTTTCTTGTAGAATATCTTCTAATTTTTTGTAACTAAACACTATAATAAACTATATTGAGTTTCTGAAAAAACGTTGATACAGGTTGTGTGAGAAGGCCTCATGCCCTCCTCTCCACACATGATCCTATCCCAAAGACTACTCTTTTGCCTTGATAAATTAATGAAGTGATGTAAAGTACTATGAAGATTAAAGTGAATAAGTAGAAGATCCAGTAAAATTACCAGCTTGAGACATTTTCATAGTAACAATTTTGATTATACATGTATCCAACCAAATGAATTTATCAATACTACCAGTCTGAGTTATACAGACTATATTATGATCTTCATTTTATTAAAAGAAAAGAAGGAAGGGATGCGAGGAAAAGAAAGGAGAAGAAAGAAAATGAAAATAATATGCACATGGCAGTGGGGAAAAATTGATCCAACAAAACTTTCAACATTTATGAGGGCTATCTGTGCATAACAATTTTTGTTTATAGAAATTCCATGAGTATTACTAAATAGGAGGTAGAAACAATGGATGTTATTTCTAAGTTCAAAGATCACTTGTAATAACAGTTCCTCTAAATACTAATATGATCACTGCCAAAATTAGTGACTTATAATTAAATTTATTTAAATTTACTAAGAATAATATGAAGTTATATACCTGAAGATGAACACTACATTATTTCTAAATATAGTAGCACAAAACTAAATACTACCATCCATTATTGCTTGATAGTAGTCTACATATGAAAATATTATTATACAGATAATATAATATGTATATGAAAATAAAAAGGAAAAACTCTCAGAAAAAAATTAAGGAACTCATGAAGTTTGAAGAAGTGTGGGTCTCTAGTAAACACTTAAAATAAGAGAATAAAGAAAAAATGTAAGTTCTTAGTAAAAAATATACATGTTAGACTCCTGTGTTTTCTTTAATGAATGGGAGCTTCTAAACAGTAAAATTATTGCTTGCTAAAAGAAAAAGGACATAGATGACATTTTATTCATCTTCCTTTATGTTACCTTTACTCAAGAAAAAGAAGAACCTGTACTAAATTTTACAGTTTTTATAAATAAAAAATGAGACAAACACTCTAATGTAGTATTTGCATTTTGTGTTTAGGAAAAGTTGAAGATCACTCTTTGATTATGGTTATGAAGTTTATCATACAAGTACAGAAAAACACAAGTAAGTCATTTTAGAATACTTGAGTTCACCATTTTCCTGAAACAACTTCTCTTTTTGTTAAGTAGATTTTTTTTGTCAAAATTTAGTTTTTATCCCCTTCCACACCCTGAATATAATCTCGTTAGAGCATTCTCTAATTATTCAATTCTCCTATCTTAACAGAAAAAAAAAGATGAACAGAGGAGGTTGTAATCGTTGTGCTTCTTAATACAATCCCTTCAACCAACATTTTTATACATATTGTATTTGAGAAAAGCTAGCAGCAAATCAGTGGCAATGTTTTTTGCCTTATGCTTCATGCATGCATTTTAATATTTCTCAAAACCAACTTTGAATGACAGATGTTGAATTTATTGTCCCTGTTATCAATTCCTTTAAAGGTTATTCTTTCCATAAATGGCAGTTATATATTTCTAGGTGCTCGCTTGAGAAAGTCCTATGATAGATATATAGTTTTTTTTTTTTTTTTACTGTATTCCCAGTTGATTTTAAAAGTTCTTTTTATTGCCATACTCTTTTGACTCTCATTTCTTTATTTTGAATCAAACTTCCTATAAAATGAGTCATATGTTAAGGTCATGCTTGGCACATTCATATTGGGATAAGTCATCTTATATCCAATATTTCACTGTTGCCTCTCTCCTTAAAACATCCTAGAATATTTACCAAATGAATTATAGTTAGCAATTTTGATCAAGTTTAATTATGTCATAACATTGAACTCCTTAGTCTGGCACTTGTAAGTCTGACACACATAATCTCGATGCCTTGGGTATTTCCATGCTTACCTTCCACCACTCTCTAATGGTTTATTCACTCTCCTACCAAAATTCATGGAACTTGGTTGTAATGTATCTGTAGTATGAACTGAATTGTGTCCCCTCCAGCCACCTTCATCTGATGAAATTCTAACTCTTAATGTGATGGCTTTTGGAAATGAGGCCTTTGCAAGGTTATTTGGTTTAGAGGGTTGGGCTCTCATGGGATTAGTGCCCATCTGAGGAAAGACATCAGAATGCGTGCTTCCCCTCTCAGTCTCTGCCATTGGAGTACAGAATCAGAAGACAGCCCCCACTGGGGAACTAAATTGGCCAGCATCTTTGATCTGAGACTTCACAGCTTTCAGAACTATGAGAAATAAACTCCTGATGTTTATACAATTTGTTTATTTGCTCACTTATCTGGATTTTAAAGAATCCATTGGGGTAAAGTTTATACCTTGCCATTTCATTTTTTAGATTCCCCTGAATGCAAAGTGCTTATATCCTCTTGAAATACAGATAAACTAATACAGATAAACTAATAAACTTTTCCAGTAATTTAATGCTGATGCCCTTCCCTTTGTTACCATATCTTCTGCAAATGGATGTTAAAATAGGATGTGTCCCAAATCAGCTTATATTGTGTATGTGGGAGGGGGTTGGGGGGGTGTTCTGGAATGACTAGGATATTAAAAGCATTTATTCCTCATTTTCTTATATTATTTAAAGGAAGATTTTACCAAGTAAAACTGCTGACCATTTAATAGTCAAAATTAACCTGTGCATCTAGCAGACTAAGCTAATTGAAACACAACAATAAGATTTTGTAGATGCTGGAATTATTCAGACTGAAATAATAAAGAGAGTGGCACTGTCATATTAATGACAAACCTTGTTAAAGGCTTTTCTTAATATACAGTGGATATTTATATGCAAATTAAAAAATCTTTAATAAACAAGAACTACAGGTTTGAAGACATACCTAGACTTGATGTACAACACAACCCTCCTACCCCATATATATGCACTTGGACAGTTGTCTGAAAACAGTTTCTTATTTACCAGAAGAATAAAATAGTTTCCACCTCATGGGGTTGTTTAAGGATCTCAGAATATCTTGAAATAGAGTCAGTCAGCAAGTAATATTCCATAACTCTTGATAGTATTATTATTATTATGTGGTTGATTTTAGTTTATGAGATATTTATGGATGTTTTTGTGACTGGTCCATGCTATCTAATATCTGAGTTATTTGCATAAGGAGTCATCTCAAATATAATTTTACTCATTTGTAAATAAGGTTCTTACCATTCTTTTGGTTGTTTTGTTAAATGTTTGGGTTTTTAAAATCTGTATTTTGTAAGCTTTGTGTGCTGAAGTGTTGGTTAATCACATTCTGAGGCTGGTGTTTGCTAATATTCTCTGTAAAGCCCTAGCTGAACAGGTCTTATTTTCTGAGAGCAGATTTATTAGGGCTATGAAGAGCATGTATTGATGTTTAGTAGCATGGATATCTCTTTATTGGAATAATTACTAGAGAGTTAGGAATTGGGAATATTGATTGCATTTATTTAGCCTTTTGATATGGACAAAAATATTAAAAGCCATCAAACACTAGCATTACCCTTTGACAGCATCATTTAATTCTAGCTACAGGGAAAATTGTGACATAAACAAAAGCAGCATGACTTATCTATCTTAATTATGATACTTTCTATAGGGGGGGAATACCTCCTTCCTTCAAATATTATAAAAGCATTGGTCAGACTAATGAAAAGAGAGCAAGGGGATTATAGATTAATAAAATGTTATGTAGCTAAGAGCATAGGATAAGTGGCCAATAAAAGAGCCTCAAGTACACTTTTTAAAGTAGAAAATGACTGGGAAATATCTTTGTCAGTTCTAAAATAATGTTGTTTCAACTTAAATATATTTGTAGATTCACATTGTTCCTTAAAGAATCTGGGCCTGTGCTGTCCTCTAGCCACAGATAGCTGTTTAAATTTAAGTGAATTAAAATTAAACAAAATTTAATAACCAGTTTCTCACACTAGCCATATTTCAATATTTTAAACACTAGTAGTCACATGTGGCCTTGGCATCTAGTTGCATGGTGCAGATGTAGAGCATTTCCATGATCATAGAAAGGTCTATTGGATAGCACTTGGATAATTAGTATATCCCACTTCTTACTTTAATTATTGGTCACAACATTCAGAAAGTCATGTTGAAATTGATAATGAGAAAAAAATGCAAGAGATCTTTCTGCATACTCCAGCATTTTTTATACATTTGATTTCATGCCAATCAGTCTTTCATTACCCATATAGACATAAGGTTATCTTATTTTTAAGCATATATAACAAGTAATGAATCCATCTCAGTCTGAATTCTTCAGTTATGTCCACATCAATGAAGGTAATAATAGGAGTTTTGTAATAATTTCTAATTAGAATTAAGTTATTTAGGGGATATTTTCAGAAGGGTGCAAAAAATAAGTAATTTTTCAACTACCATTGCCTGTCAAACCCATTCTAAAAATTCTTTCTTCAAATTTCTTTGGATAATATCTCAAGGGCCATTAATTTGCATTTACTTCTGAACACTGAAGAACAATCCTGTTTTCAGATATTAAAGGCCCATTGCAATATAATTCAACACTTCAAACGCCCGTTCTTGTCTATGACATTCTAGCCATGCTAACTTCTTTTATTTCTTAGAGTCTATCAAAATTTTTCCCACTTTAGAGATTTTTTTAACTTTAATTTCCATCTAATTAGAACTTATTCTTACTTTTAAAAATTCTTTAGATATCAATTTAAATCCTACCAAGATCTTCCTAGATGACTTCACTATCTTTGTTATTTTTCTTCCATACTATTCATTTACTTCAGGTTTTTGAAATTATTTATAACTATATTTGGTCTATTAATTTTCTACTTCTTTATATGTTCACTATTTATAAGGTACATAAAAACAGATAACCATATCAAATTTGTTTATCCCTTTGTGCTATCTAGGACAATGTAGGTATTCAATATATTTGTTTAATAACTGTGAATCAAATAGCTACCCGTCACTATTTTTTCAACTATAAATGTACTAAAATGTATAAAATATATAAAGACTCTTGATTATTAAAATTAAAGCTATTAGGCAATATATTTTGCTAAGCCTGATTTTGCCAAATGTTAAGAGTACCTTGGAGTTCAGATGTTGATGACAGTGGCTTCATTTAAGCTTCTCTTCAGGACATGTCCAGAATCAGAATAAACCAAGAATAAACAACAATCCACCTAATTAGTAGAATAAACAAGGCCTGGAAGAAAACACTATAAAGTTGACTAAATAATTTAAAAAATACTTGAGTTTACAAACTTGATTCTATAGTTTTTATCTAGTCCAACAGCAACTGCTGTATTTAGCAAACAAGCAGTAACCCACCCTGTCTATAATTTTAATTATACCCTCTATCATTGAATTCTCAGTTAAAGGGGAACTTTGGCCAAGAGGCAGTTGAAAAGGAAGTAACTTAAGTATATTGAAAAACAAAACAAACCAAAACTCTGGGCACTTAGAGATAGGCAACAATGTGACAAATGTAGTAGATCGAGTTAATTATCTAAGTGTCCCTGAGGAAGCTGGGCAAATGTAATAACCCAATCAGCACATTACAGTAAACAGAAAGCAAATCTAGGAATTTGCCTGTGATTTTTACAGATTGAGAGAAAGTTATTTGCATAATATTGTATAGAGCAAGTATGAGAAATAATGGAAGTTTGTTCCTCAAAAGAGAATAATGGAGTGGAAAGAGGATATCTAAAAATTATGTACCTGAAATGGGGGCCACACAGAGAAGAAACGAAATCTGAGACCGGTACTATAAAAGATTGGGTTTTAATTTTACCTGAGTACACTTTGACCAGAATATCCATTCTGATTTTCCAGGATATAACCCAGAATCGCATAACCCAGAATTGCATATTTTATGGGTAGTATCTCAATAAACCATCTTAACATAAATGAATGAATAATAAAATAGATAAGCATTAGGTGTACCAAGGATGGCAAATATGTGGCACAAGGACTAGTACTCTTCCCCCATCAACCCCACCACGTCTAGTATCTGTAAGTATAATTACTCATTCAGATTATTATTTCCTGCTGAGATTGAATGTGGACTCAATCTTTAAAATGTTCTCAATACAGTGATCCAAGCTTCCTGAACTAATGTGTGGG